CCAAATGTTGCCATTGAGTGTGCAAAATGGAATCCAGTGTTTAGCTGCATTTGATAATGTCTGCCTTGTTTTAGTTTGAGACTGCAATGTTTAACTTTGATATTAGTTTTGGAAGGATAACGGATTATTCCACAGAGGTGGCTTTTCAAATGTTTTCAACATTGGGCTGACTTGTAAAATTCATCAATGTTACTTTAAAATGTCAGTAAATAAGCAACTTCAGGAAAGTTAAGCTTTTGACAGTCAAAGTAAACCAAAGTCAAAGGATGTGCCAACTGGTAAGCTCTGATCAAACTGACGGATCAGAAAGATTCTTTATTCCTGATGGTGCCTTGTTAAACTGTCTACTGCAGCAATGTGGTTAGAAGTTTGATTGACATTGCCATTGGCCTGTAGAGCCCAAAGTGCACCTAAGGAAAAGCAGTAAAAATTGCCTCACTGGCCCACAGCTCTGGGCAGGAACAAACCTGAGACATAGCAAAAGAGAGCAGCAAGTAAAACTGCCAACTGATGCAACTGATCAAGCACTGGCTTTAGATTCTGACTTTACCAAGGCCTTTCTTCCTTTAAAAAATGAAAGAACTGCAGATGCTATAAATCGGGAGCAAAAATAGAAGTTGCTGGAAAAGCTCAGCAGGCCTGGCAGCATCTGGGAAGAAAAAATCAGGGTTAACGTTTTGGGTCCATTGAACCATAAGACCATAAGACATAGGAGCAGAAATTAGGCCACTCGGCCCATCAAGTCTTCTCCGCCATTCAATCATGGCTGAAAAGTTCCTCAACCCCATTCTCCCGCTTTCTTCCAGTAACCCTTGATCCCCTTGATAATCAAGAACCTATCTGTCTCAGTCTTACATATACTCAATGACCTGGCCTCCACAGCCTTCTGTGGCAGTGAATTCACCTGCACATCTGCCAATGTGGTACACTGCATCCGCTGTACCCGGTGTGGCTTCCTCTACATCGGGGAAACCAAGCGGAGGCTCGGGCACCGCTTTGCAGAACACCTACGCTTGGTTCGCAATAAACAACTGCACCTCCCAGTCGCGAACCATTTCAACTCCCCCTCCCATTCCTCAGACGACATGTCCATCCTGGGCCTCCTGCAGTGCCACAACGATGCCACCCGAAGGTTGCAGGAACAGCAACTCATATTCCGCTTGGGAACCCTGCAGCCCAATGGTATCAATGTGGATTTCACAAGTTTCAAAATCTCCCCTCCCCCTACCGCATCCCAAAACCAGTCCAGCTCGTCCCTGCCTCCCTGACCTGTTCTTCCTCCCACCTATCCCCTCCTCCCACCTCAAGCCGCACCTCCATCTCCTACCGACCAACCTCATCCCGCCCCCTTGACCTGTCCGTCCTCCCTGGACTGACCTATCCCCTTCCTAACTCCCTACCTACACTCACCTTTACTGGCTCCATCACCGCCTCTTCGACCTGTTTGTTTCCTCTCCACCTATCCTCTCCTCTATCCCTCTTCTATCCGCCTCCCACTCTCTCCCTATTTATTTCAGAACCCCCTTCCCCTCCCCCTTTTCTGATGAAGGGTCTCGGCCCGAAACGTCAGCCTCTCTGCTCCTACGATGCTGCTTGGCCTGCTGTGTTCATCCAGCCCTGCACCTTGTTGTCTCGGACTCTCCAGCATCTGCAGTTCCTACTATCTCTGATAATGATTGACTGGTGGTTTTTTGCAACTGAAAAGCTGTTCCAGTGGGTTTTTCCAGTGCTTTTCCTGGGATGTCTTAATACTTGGACTTCAATATAGGGGCATGATCAGCAGAGTTGCAGATGACATAAAAATTGGCCATTTATTGGACAGTGAGGAGGGAAACTGTAGACTGCAGGAAGATATCAGAGGAATGGGCGTGAAGGCAGAAAAGTGTCAAATAGAATTCAACCTGAAGAAATGTGTGATGATGCATTTGGAGAGATCAAATACTTGCAGTTTCTTTGAAGTGTTATGACTGACAAAGAGATAGAGAGCTAGAGGTCACAAGCAAGTTGGATTCAGAAGAAAAGATCTTTCCAACAGAAGAGCAACTTCTATTTTGTGGAAGCCCTTAGACCATCAGCATTGGAAAGAAATCTTGAGTTGTTTTAACAGCGTAAAATTAGTCAAAGTCAGACAAGTCAGTGTTAGCTTGTTGATGCTTCTTGTGGAGAGAGATGGTAACTGGTGGAATCACATCTGGTGAATATAGGGAATTGCCAAAAGGAAATGTGTGTGACCTAGTCAGTTGAGTTAGAAATTTTAAAATGAAGATAGGAGTGACTGGGGAAGAAGCGTTGAATTATTTTTGTCATTTATGATCAAGCCTTTCAAACATTCTTTTAGAGATAGCAAGAACTGCCGATGCTGGAGTCAGAGATAACACAGTGTGGAGTTGGAGGAACACAGCAGGCCAGGCAGCATTTCGGGACCTGAAACGTCAGCTTTCCTGCTCCTCTGATGCTGCCTGGCCTGCTGTGTTCTTCCAGCTCCATACTGTATTATCAAATTTTTTTTTTTCGTTTTATACATGCAGTACATCTCTGTGACTCTGTGATTAACTTGTGTTTTTTTGCTAAAGGGGTAGCCTTGTGTAAATTATGTTCAATAACTGACCACCACAGTAACCAAATTTCTAAAACAAAAGGTCTTGCTTACAGTTATCTGAAATCTGAAATCTGAAATCTGAAATCTGACTTGTGCAGCTTTGATGAAAACATCACAGTTAAGCACATCTTGATTTTATTTGAGTTTGCTGTCATCACTTTAATAAGAACCATTTTAAATTCCTAGGAACGTACTGTGCTATCACAGTTGAAAGAATTGTCACAGAAAGGACTTTCCTCAGGAATCCTTAGAACAACACAACATCAAATGTTCTCAAAGAAAAACCTGTTCCAGGAATTGAACATACTGGGGGAAAAAAAGCTCCATTGAACTAATGATGCCCATTAAAGGACTAGATAATAATAAATCATCACAACTGATTTATGTGGTGTAACGAAGTCTGGCTGTTTCCAACTGAGTTTCTTAAATTTATTTGGTTGGCTACGTTTGTGATTTCAAATGATTATCTGAGCACAAAAGTACAATATACCTAAATGGAAATGAAATATTTTTATTTCCTTTATTTCAAAAGAAATGGAGTATAAAATTAGGGAGGTCTTGCTAGAACTGTACAAGGCCACACCTAGAATACTGTGAACAATTTTTGTGCATTTTGTAGTATTATAGATTCTTGTTTTTCTATCTGAGGAAAGATACTGTCATTGGAGGCAGACCAGAGAAGGGTCACTCAGCTGATGCCACGGATGGGGGGCACTATCTTACGAGGAGAGGTGGAGTAGGTTGGGTCTGTACTCATTGGAGTTTAGAAGAATGAGAGGCAAAGTTATTGGAACATGCAAGGTCCTGGGGGACTTGATAAAGTAGACACAGAAAGGTTGTTTCCCCTTATAGGAGAGTCTAGGACTAGAGGGCATAATCTCAGAATAAGCAGTCACCCGTTTAAGACAGTGATCATGAGCAATTTCCTTGGAGGTTAATGAATTGTTGGGATGCTTTACTGCAGAGGGTTGTAGAGGGTGAATTGTTAAGAATATTTAAGGCTGAGATGGACAGACTTTTAATCAATAAGTGTTTGAGACAAAGGCAGAAAATTGGAGCCGTGATCTCATTGAATGGTGGGTTGACTTATTGGGCTGAAGGGCGTATTTCTCCTATATCTTATGATCTTACCTTCTTACTAAAAAGTATATTACATGGTAGCACATAAATGTGATATTGGAATACTGCTTTCACCTTTCAGTCGATAGACTATCTCCGTGTGAAAATGAGTAGAATGCATTTTGTGTTTATGTTCATTTGCTATGTAAACATAACTGAGTTGATGAGGTCTACATGAATAAGTCAGATATATAATATTTTGCCAAACTCATCATGGCTGTGTTGGTGACATTCTCATCAGTTATTGTCTTTCAAAAATCTAAGAATGGAGTTATAATTGAATAATGTAGAATTAACTGAAATGACTATTAAATTGTTAAACTTTCCAAGTTGGTGTCAGAAGTACTGCATCTGTCTGGGATTGTCAGTATTAAAATGAGTAAAATTTAACATTGGGCTTTTACTTTAATATTTTCCGTGAATACACGTACAAGAGATTCTCTGTTGGATTTCAGCATGGAACTCTGCACAGTCATGTTCTGTGTAGCCAAATATAACTTTCTTCAATTGCCAGATCATAGCAGAGCCAAGGTGGTTTCAATGAAACTACAATTGTAAAACAGAGACTAATGTTTGGCAGAAGGGGTTGTTTTTTTTTTTGTTAACTGGAAAACTGATTCTTTTTCATGATATATTTGGTTAAACAAAATTTATTGCACTCTTGCCTCATAATTGTAAAGGGAGAAACCTGTTCACTATTCAGTTCCTTTAATTGTTCCCTGTTTTTTGTGTTAAGTGGCGACCTGAGATTAAAGGTTTTGTTGGAGCTAGCTTGTCTTGTGATATTGTGAAATTCAGTGAGTTTTTTTCAGTTTACTGTATCTTTACTTAAACTTAATTGACTTATTTCTGTAAAAAAAAACTATACAAACCATGTATGGCAGAGGGGTCTGCTTATCGAGTGCACTTTGAGTTGCTAATGCAGGATGTAACTCTATAGTGAGGGACTTGTGTCACGAACAGTAGATAGTCCTGTTTGTAATGGAACAGCTTGGCACAGTCTACAGGTATCACTAGTTCAGAGAGAATCATATGGATGTAACAGCTAATCCAATTTTCTATCCATATTTGAAGCCTAATTTGGATGGATTTCTTTGTCATTGTGTAATCCTCCATATCCTTTCTGTGTTTTGGCCACCTGATACACCCATGTGCAATAAAAAGAAGATTTGCTCCTGACTGTCAAAAAGTTTTAAACAGAAACTTGTTCTTATTAAATTTGTTGACTGGCTTTCTAATACTAACAATCTGGTTTCTGCATGTCTCTCTCTCTCTTTTCCAGGGTGTGCTTCTTTCTCACAAGCCAAAGGAAAAAAATCGGATTGACAGTAATAATGAAAACTCTGTCCCAAAAGACTTTGAAAATATTGACAATAGTAATTTTGGGCCCAGAATGCAAAAGCAGAAGTTGCAACCAGAAGCGAAGAGTAAAGCACCAATTGAGAAGAAAGCCAAGTATGAGCAGATGGGCAAAGCCAAGGATCATTCATTGCTGGGCAAGAGCACCAATGAAGTCCTAAAATATGGGAGCTTTCAGGCAAAAAATGCCAGCAATTTGCAACCAAACTACAAGACTAGGAACGTCTACAAAGGAGTAGTGATTGGAAAGGGTACTCAAGAAATCCATTATGACCAGACTCCCAGATGTGAAATATCGGGCAAGGAAGCATTGTCTGCACTCTCCAGGGCTAAAAGCAAACATTGTCGACACGAGATTGCTGAGCTCTATTGCCTTCATAAAGATGGCAAGTTAATGCCGGAAAAGGTACCTCGACTGTGTCCGTTGGAGGGTAAGGATCTCTGATACAAATTTTATTGTTAATGGGATAAGCGACTGAGAAGGGGCATCTATCTCTTCATCTTTGTCTCTGTGTCTCTTTCTCTCTCTCTTTCACTTGCCTTTCTTTCTCTTTATCGTTCCATGCTCTACCTCTTTCTAATTTTGAGGCACCTCCATCATACTTCAGATGCTCTACTGTCACACACATACTTGGGTATCACTTTTTGAAAAGAACTGGAAAACAAATAAAGCTAGTGATTTTTCAATTTATAAAGTAAGCTTCTCTAAAAAACGAAAATTGCACCTACTTCAGGAAAGAGAGGAATAAAAGTAGACCTAATGACCGCTTGACTTGATGCTTACTGGAGGCCAATCAACCACTAGTGCCCATGGGAATATCGCACCTTGCAAAGATAAACACACAGTCTTTGCAGCAATGCAGAAGCCAAATCTCACGTAGCAGCTTTTCACCAGTTGATTAACACATTAAGCTTTCTGTCTTGTGGTCTGTGTGAAATTTCTCCTGCAATGCTGTTAAACTTGTGTGATATGTTGCTGAAAAGTAAGAGATGCTGTTAAGCTTTATGTCTTAGACTCATCAGGTAGGATGCAAGAATTCCAGATTTTGAAAGGGAATAATTTTTACTACATGAGAAACAGGATGAAGACTTGTTCCTAGGTGGACTCTGATTGAGGCATTATCATGGAGAATGAAGTTCACATTTCACCAAACTTTTGAATTTTGGTTTTTTTGCACCTGCTCTGATGAGTGAAAAATGGACCGCTTTGACTGCGTGTTCCTCTCTTCCAGCAATACTCCAATCCTGAATAAAAAGCAAAAGAACTGCGAATGCTATAAATCAGCAACAAAAACCGAAATTGCTGGAAAAGCTCAGCAGAACCGGAAGGCTCTGAGGAAGGGTCACTCGACCTGAAACGTTAACTATGATTTGTCTCCACAGGTGCTGCCAGACCTGATGAGCTTTTCCATCAATTTCTGTTTTTATACCCAAATGCACCAAGCAATGGTTTATGCCATGTACCAGTGCTTCCTAAAATTTTGCCCCATTGTGAGGCTTAAATAATTGCAAGACCTATGAGAGGTGGGATAGGAAGTTGGACAGTACTGTAGAGTTCGCAACCCCACTTGATATTCCACTGCCCACTTTGGGAATCGCTAGTTTATACAATACCTATGTTATTTAGCAGGCAAACCTAACAAAACAAAAATAATTATTAACTTTAATCATAAAGGTTAATCTCAAAATAGTCTTTTTTAAAAATGTTGCTGGGCAAATCAATGGGCATTTTCAATTTGTGTAATCCAAAGAGCAGGCATGACTAAATGAGGAAGGCTGTTTATTAATTTTTGAATTGGTACAGATTATATGTGACAATGTGAGTGTTCAGAAGAGGTCATAAAATGTTAACATCCAAAGAATTAATTTGGAAATGCTGTAATTACTAATATCTGCATTGATTGTATGTTTTATTTTGGGTTGGAAGCTCCTGATCCTTTAATTAGCACCCCACCCCAACCAGTGCCATAAACGACTGGCCCAATATGTTTAATGAAACCTGAGATTATGATGTCTGTCTGGTCATTATTTGCAGCACCTCTTCGATTGCAAAAACACATCACAAATTCTGAGTCAGCAGAATAAAAAACAGTAGAATTGGCAATTAACCTTCTGTAAATAAATTCCAAATTCACTTTGTCATCAAAATGATGAAATACTGAGGCGGTAGTTTCCTCACGGCAACTTGAGAATTTTTGACTGTCAACATTTAAGTGGAACAAAAATATAAGAAGTTTCCTCTTCTGAAATGTTAGGGGAAGTAATGGTGTAGGAGTCATGTCACTGGATTTGTAATTCAGAACCCATTTCAATGTCCTGGGAGCATGGGTTTGAATCCCACCATAGCAATTGTGAAATTTAGATACAATACAAATCTAGAATAAAAAGGTAGCTTAATTGCAACTGCCAATTGTTAAAAACCTGTCTGGTTTACTAATCCCCTTTAGGGAAGGAAATCTGCTGTCCTTGCCTGGTCTAAGTCACAAGTGACTCCAGACCCAGAGCAATGTAGCTGACTCCTAACTGGCCTCTGGGTAATAAGGGATGGGCAATAAATGCTGGTCCAGACAATAATGGCCACATCCCATGACAAATAATTAAAATGTGTCTTCACTGTGTGCAGGTTGGCTGCCACATTCCTTGCTTACATCAGTGACTACATTTCAGAAATACTTCATTTGGCAAAAGCACTTCTTGATTTCTTGAGGTCATGAAAGATGCTGTATAGATGCATGTCTTTTTTTTTTCAAAGAAGAAGCATGTTAAATATGCTAAAATAAAACTCCTGATCACAGTGGTTTAACTGTCTAACTTGGTTATGATAGTTCACTATAGTAAACCATAGAACTTGAGCTTGTGGAAAAGTGGTTTCTGATTTTGGGAAATTCTATGACTAGAGAACATAATCTGAGCCCAGTTAGGACAGAGATGAGGAAGAATATCTTCCCTTAGAGTAGTAAATCTACTGAGTTCTTTGTTGCAAAGGCTGTTGAGACTGAGTCGTTAAGTATATTCAAGGCCAAGAGAGAGATTTTTAATCAGGAAATGAATCTAGGATTTTGGGGGGAAAGCAAAAAAGTGGAGTTGAGGATTATCAGATCAGCCACGATCTCTTTGAATGGCAGAGACAACGCGATAGGCTGAATGGTCCAATTCTGCTCCTACGTTTTATGGTCTTATTTTTGGAGTAGGAAAGAGGTTCACAGTGATGTTTGACCTTTTTACTTCACTAATATTTTTGCCAGCAGCTGTGTGCTTGACCTAACAATCAGTGTGGACTGCTGGTTCCCCAAGGAGGGAGAATGGCTGAAATGACAGGAGTTGAAAACTCTGATAATTGTTGACTTAATTAGTTTTTATTATCACTAATGTTAAAAAGCTCTTTGGTCAGTCTCTCGCTGTTACATATCATTTCCACCAATGAGCTTCCACAACCAATAAACATCTCATGCAGCAGATTCAATACACCAAGGTAAACCTGCTAAAAAAATGGAAAAGGAAATGTTTACCTCAGTTAAGAGTCTTGTGTCCTTTAACAACTTAATCAGATCTTTATTGTTCAGTATTTATTGCTGAAAATGTTTAGTAATCTCTGGAGTGGCCCCACTTGGAGTATTATGTCCTGTTACTGCGACTACATTCCAGGGAAGGTATAAAAGTATGGGAATGGATGCAGAAAAGATTCACAGGAATATTTCCAGAGACGAGAAACTTCCATTATATGGATGGATAAGAGAGGCTGAGGCTGCTCTTGCAGGGGAGAAGTTTGAGAGGACATTATGATAGTGTTCAAAATCAGGAATGGCCAGGACAAAGTTGGTGAGGGAAATACTGTTTCCATTAGTGGTAGAATCAGGAACACAGGAGACACTATTTAAGGTGATTGTTTCTTTTCAAATGACAACACAAGAAACTACTTTTTAATGCATTGAGTGGTAGGTAGCTGAAATGTATGAAGTAACATTTTTCTTTATTCTTTAAGGGGATGCATTTGTTGCTCTTACTCCCAATCGCCCCTGACTTGGCCATTTCAGAGGGCATTGAGAAGTCAACAATGTTGCAGTGGGTCTAGTGTCACCTTTAGGCAAGCATGGCAGATTTCCTTTCCTCAAGTGCACCATTGAACCAGAACGATAGTCAGTGGTAGTTTCCTGGATATCATTATTGGGACTAGTTTTCAATTACAAATGTGTCAGTCAAATTTAAATATGACCAGTTGCCTTGGTGAGCTTTGAACCCATGGCCCCAGAACATCGTCTTGAGCTTTTAATTTTTAGTCCGGAGTTGTGGAGATTGATTCGATCGTGTCTCTTGAAAGAGAATTGGACAATTATCTGAAAAGGAAAAAGTTGTAGCACTGTAAGGAAAAGGCAGCAGAGGAGCTGTAGGTGCATTGCTCTGGCAAAGACTCTTCTTGACAGCCTGAATGGTTAATCTATGGAAGGAGACCATTCTGTAATTCTATTGTTTACAACCGCGACCATGAGCATCTTGTGATGGATTTTCAACCTACAATTTTATTTAAATGTGGGGTAGTGGGTTTGAATGCTATTGCTCCTGATTTCAATTAGGCCAGTGTTTAGTACACTTGATGCTTCTGGTGCTGTTAGTTTTAAAGTGATAACTTTTCTTTCTTAATGTTAGTTGATCACTTTACCATTTAGAAACAGTGAATGTAGACAATACGAAACAAAAACAGAAATTGCTGGAAAATCTCAACCGGTCTGGCATGTCTGTGGAGAGAAATCAGAGTTAATGTTTCAGGTCCAGTGATCCTCCTTCACATTTTCCAGCAATTTCTGTTTTTGTTTCAGATTTTCAGCATCTGTAGTCAGAGTTATAGAGATGTACAGTGCGGAAATAGACCCTTTGGTTCAAGATATTCATGCCGACCAGATATCCTAAATAAATCTAGTTCCATTTGCCAGCATTTGGCCCATATCCCTCTAACCCCTTCCTATTCATATACCATCCAGATGCATTTTAAATGTTGTAATTGTATCAGCCTCTGCCACTTCCTCTGGCAGCTCATTCCATACACACACCGCCCTCTGTGTGAAAAAAGTTGCCCCTTAGGTCCTTTTTAAATCTTTCCCCTCTCACCTTAAACCTATATCCTCTGGTTTTGGGCTCCCCTACCCTAGGAAAAGACCTTGGCTATTCACCCTATCCATGCTCCTCATAATTTTATAAACCTCTACATGGTCAGCCCTCAGGCTCTGATGCTCCAGGGAAAATAGCCCCAGCCTGTTCAGCTTCTCCCTATAGCCCAAACTCTCCTACCCAGGTGACATCCTTGTAAATCTTTTGTGAACTCTTTCAAGTTTAACAAAATATTTCCTATAGTTTTTTCAGCTTACTTTCTAGACAATTTGTCTGCCAGTGCATCCTTCGAGAATAACCTCCATGAAGGAAAATAAAAGTAGAAATG